CTGACCTTCCTTGGAGTATACTTGCTTGGTAAGTGCACTGTAGCTAGAAATCAGGGTAGCAAGCAAAGTCAGTCTTTCTGTGTTCATACATGAAATCAAGGGATAGCTCCTAAACAGAGGTATGAGAAATGATATGGCCATTTTGAACACATTGCTTATCTGATTATTTTTTCCTTTAAGTCATACAAAATCGTCATAATAATAAACACAAACTATGGACTTATACAGTTATATTGAACAGGTTGATTTTTTTATAGAGCATATAAATTTATGAGAAAGTAGATATGATTAATTCACTCCCTTGTTTAAAAATGTGCATATATGTATTTAGATGGTGATTATTTCAGTCAATCCACAAAACATTACTCTGATAAAGCTACCTATTTTTTTAAGTAATTAGTAGATAAGAAGATGGCTTTACATCCCAAAAACTATAAATCAGTGAAAATGAGGAAATGAATTGCTGTAGGGAAAACGTCACTTATCTATAATGTGTTACTAGAATAGGACTCTATATAATAATTGTCAGAGAATTTAATAACTATTTTAAGTCATATAAGAAGCAGAGCTTGCTTTTGGCTGTTATAATTCATGCATTTTACCAGCAAATCAGCAGAGTGCAGACTGTTTTATTTTATGCTGATTAGGGACTTCTGAGCTGTTGCTCCTCCTGTTTCTCCCTGCACATTTCCTCCTCCTCTTTGTCTTCTGTCTTCTCTCACCTCTTCCCCTGCACATTCCCCATTCCTTCCTGGTGGCCTCCTCATATTTCCTCTTCAGCAGGTGTACCTTACCAGTCAGATGCACTGCATGTGGAGTGTGTGAGGCAAAGGCTGACTGTGCTCTCCAGTGGCTGCAGGAGAATGCTTATCCCATACTCTACAGAAGACATGGACTGAAACCCCAGAGTGGATTCCTTCAGACACAGCACAGCTGCATACAGGCGTTCTGGAATCTTTTATTTTGCACATGCTGTGAAGAAAGTCATTGACTCATAATTTGGAGAAATCCAAGAGAGAGTAACAAAACAAATAAGTGAATAAAAGTATGTCCAATATATTTAATTTTAGAGAAATTTCAAATTATAAGTCCCAGAGAAACCATGGTTCCCTTTACCTTTAAACAAAAACTGTAGACCTTCCTGCCAGGGCTACTTTGTGCGATGCAGAAGTTAAAGCAAAGTTGATGCTCAAGTTGATTTTGAAACAGGGAGTGTGTCTAGAAAAGTTGGTGATTATACCTGGATTTGGGTAATTCAAGCTCTAAGGAATTGCTACATATAAAAACAAATGTTAGAAATATTATATATAGTAGATATAGGCACGTGTATTCAGTATTGGTTTTAAGGAAAATGTATAAACATTATGGGGCAACAAAGCAAGAGATGGAGAATTAAAAAGTACTATAATTTGAATTGTGTATGTTGCTTATATAATCTATCTACTATATTTGTTTCCTAAATTTTCTTACATTTGCTAGTTGCCTAGTAGCAAGTAGAGGGAAAATTAAATTAAATGAAAAAAGCCTCCCAGACTAAGGACAGAGAGAATGCTTAGCAGAAATGGAAGCAGGAGAGCCATTCACCTTTTTAAGATCACTAACTGATGGTTTTGCGGGTCTATGATGAGGAGCACTGACTGATGATGTGGGGGAATCTGTGATGAAGATTACTAACTGATGGTGTTAGATCTTTGATGAAGAACACTGACTGATGTTGTTAGGTGTCTGTCAAGAAGAAAACTGACTGATGGTGTTGGGGGTCTGTGATGAAGAACACTGGGAAGTGAGGGTATTAATCCTTTTCATTGAGCCACATGAAGGCTAAGACATTAGATAACAAGAATCTTGATCCCATATGAATTTGACAGGAAATTAGGAGTAGTGATGAACACTAACAGGGCATTTCTAGTAGCTTCTGCAGGCTGTACTGCCTGTCCATCCCCTTCCTTATTGCTCATGTCTGATCCTGCTCAGGTTAATCTGTTAACCAACCATAACTGGAAGGGGTTTGTCTGTGATTCTCTAGTTAGCTTTCTCCCTGAAATTGGAGGGAGATGATGAATGAGCTGAAGAGAGGAGTGAACTGGTTCTAGAAGGGTGGGTGATTGAGTGAAACAAGCAATTGCTCCTGTTTAAGTTTCACATAGCACATCATCTCTGAAGACCCCAGCATCACTCCATGAACAGTGGGGCCTCACCGCTTTCCCCTTCTTCCCCACTATCATTATGTCTACCTTGTCTTCTTGTCTTGAAACACTTATTGTGCTATGACAGTATAGAATCTGACATTTTTCACATTACCTCTTTTAGCCATCTACAATGTGGGTCAGTGACAGTAGTTGTTATTTTTGATAGTTTTCTTTATTGACACACTAAAATGTTTGAAAAAGAGCTTACAGCATAAGAGGCATTGAATATATGTGGAAAACAACTTCTGGGATCAGGGAATAAAAAAGAAATCAAGAAACTGGGTATTCCTCAAGGCTTCTGAGATAATGCCAATAAAGAGGCTTAAGTGTCTGAATAATTCAGTGGAATTCCGCATGACATTTCCACAAGAGAACACTCTTTGCTCTGCACCTGCTCTGCACCGCTGCTAACTTTGACTTTAGTCCCCTCAAGGGAGCCTGTTCTAGGATCATTTTAGGAACGAATGCTGAGAAGATATAGGAACTTGTTTGAATAATTAGAAGGGGTGTAGGGATGGTTGGTGGTTGGCCCTTGCTAGTGGATTTCTCTGAGGAAAGCTGCTTCTCAGTTTTATGCATAGGGAGTGTGAACTCTTCTCCCTCACTATGGCTGGTGGGTGTTATAACCTAAGCTTGTTATAAAAAGTATATGACTTAATTTAATTCATTTGGAAGAATAGGGCATGGTGACTATGGTGAATTAGCATGCATTTCATTGTAGACTTGATTACCATCTATGCATATTTGACGTCAGATTTTTCTAAGTTCCCATGTGGACATTACTGTTGGTTCACAATAAAAAAGTTAATGGGAAAATAACAAAATTAACATAGTCATGTTCTTTAAACCAGAAATTCTATCCCTAGGAATCTATTTTGTTTCTATACTGAAATACAATTAGCTACAAGAATATTCATCATAATATTATTATTTATACTTGATGAAGACATTAAAAAGGCTCTATCTCACTGCCAAGACTTCAGTGTATTTAAACAATAAGAATTTATGCAGTCATGACATCCAAGAGTATTTGTTGAGATGAAAACATAGCCATCAAATAAGATAGTGAGATTTGCAGCAGTAAGAAAGCATTATATATTCAAGTGCAAAAAACATAATATAGTATTCACAGTAGTTATTTCAGGCTGAGGGAAGCTTTTTATTTCAGTTTTAGTTTTTTTCCCTTTCCTGTACATTATGAATTCTTACACTCAGCAATGAGAACACCTAACCTGAAGCACCGCATTATCAAAGGGTACATATCTGTTCAAATGTTCCCATATTGTCCCAATGCATGCTATTAAGAGGGCGTAAGGACTCTGGAGAACTATGTTTCTTTCATTTGATAGTTATGCATGTTTGGGACTTAGAATAAGGCCACATTTGACATATATATCAATAATTGAGAATGCAAATATATGAATCTCTATCTTAATAAATATGTACAGCTTTAGTGGTATAGAACATAAACTCACAAGATTTTGTGTTAATATAGTCATAGGAAGTGAGTTACATTCTCCTTCACATTTTAGAAAAGCTAAAGTTTCAATGTTCATGATGTATATGTGATATGTCTAACTTCACTCAACTAATAAATTCTGAACTCTGAAATTGTGTTTTCTTGGTGCTGAAAATGGGATTGAGGGCCTTGTGAATATTAGGCCAACAGAACCCCAGCTATGTATAATTGAAGCAAAATCATAAATTATATGCTCTGATGAACATAAAATGTCTTTAGGACTATTTCCTTGCTAAGTCGTGCATAAGACATGACACAAATGGATAGATTTCCCTTGAATAAACAGAGCGGCGGCAGCGACTGGACAGCTTCTGGGTCAAGAGTGTCCATGGGTGGCCTTGAAGTTGTCATTGCAGCTATCTGGGTAGAGGGGTTCAACTGAAGTGGATTGAGTCAGAGATGGCTCTCCAAAAACTGTGAATTTCACATGGAGACAACCGACTGGGAACTAACTAGTCAACCCTTTCTCCACCCAGCAGTGTTTGAAGGATGACTTCCTCCTCTGCTTGGACACTTATGTGCGAGAAGCAATCCAAATCCTATCAAAATAAATGTATTTATAGAATCCTGATGACTGTTAAAAAATGATAACTGAGATTTCCTTGCACTAACTGTGTATAATTTGAGCTACTGTGTTTAATAATATTTGAAAGATATATTAGAAGATTTGACCAGTTCACTCAGCATCTCAGACCTAATGTGTTTAAAACTAGCTACTGATGACAGTTGCTCTGGCCAGAAACCTCCTTGTCATCCCTGATGCTTTGCCCTTCTTTGGTCCAGTCTCAGCAGGCTGTGTTTTATTTACCTGAACAGTGACCTAGATTGAAGTCATTGTTCTCGCACCCTGCTTCCTTTCTTGATCCACTCACTGCATTTTCACCTAAACATGTCTGTCCTCCTAGAATGTATTTGTCCCAAGATAAGTGGGTTCCAGTCTGTGTGCCAAGTTCCTGGTACACTGCCCAACACCTGTAAGGAATCAATAAATATTTACTGAATTTCTCTCAACCCAAACATTATTCTTGATTATATTTAGTGCTGGGCATTGCATTATGTATGAGAATACTAGTATATAATTGAATGTATTCTTTTGTTTTGTATGTGTTTTGTATGTGTAGCATGTGGCAATCTCTCCTAAATCACCAGGTTTTTAGGTACACACTGTCAATTTAAGCAATTTTGCCTCCACAAATCCTGTCCCAGAAATAGATCTATTATTCACACACTCATGATTTTGACAGATCTCTTATTCTAACTTTGTTCTTTGTCACACTTTAATTTTCTTTCAGAAAAGAGGCACAGCTGGATGAAGAAGGCCAGTTTCTTGTCAGAATAATATATGATGATTCCAAAACATACGACCTGGTGGCTGCAGCAAGCAAAGTCCTCAGTAGGTTCAAAGTATCCTTTCTTCTCTCGATTAACCACCCATAGTTCCACAAAGGAATATGTGGTCTAGGACCATACAAACTGTTCCCTGAACAACTGTGGTGAATCAATTTTATGAGGCTAGGTTGTGGCTATGTATAAGCTATTCAGTGAGTAGAAAGGAGAAAGTGGAAATCTCCCCTTATCATGCAAGGCCTTGTTTGAAGAAAACACAACTTCTAGTATTTCAGCCATAAAACCTTTGGTTACAGCACCAACCATGGAGAGAGCATTCAAACATAAAGAACAGAAATTGTTATTCTCAAATGTGTGTTACAATAATAAACTTGACAAAGCACTGGCAAAATACAGAGGAAATTCATTGACAAACAAAATTCATAAATAAGACCCATGGCTGAAAAAAATGTAATTCAAACAGGTTTTATGCTTCTGAGTATTAATCTTCCAGGGGCCTCATGTGCATCTGGACTGCAATGTATGCAGGAGACCATGAAACTCTTTGCTCTATTGGACAGGATTTATAACTTAGAAACAAAACTTCTATATTGTTAATAAAAAGAAATAAACCACAACAATTATGAGAGAAAATATGGTGTAAATTTCAAATTTGTAAAACTGAAATATCTGTTCTAGTCAAGAGTAGAGCTAAAGAGAAAATAAGACATTTTCAATTTAGTGGTAAATTAAGACAACCTTGGGAACTGATTTTATATCTGTCACTGAAAATATGTTCAAATTCTGTTAACATATTTTTAAATTCATTTTTCTGTAAAGAATACACATTTGTGTGTATGTGCATGTACAGAATCATATGTGTACATATGTGTGCATTTTGAGGCCAGAAATCTGATTCAGATTGTTTTTGTCAATCATTCTTATTTTTTCAAAATATATTTTTAAAAGTTGTTGAGATTACAATGCAATTATATCATTTCCCTGTCCTTTTCTCCCTCTGAACCCATGCATACCCCGACTCTTTCAAATCAATAACCTCTTTTTTATTTGATATGTCTCTCTCTCTCTCACACACACACACACACATGCACACACACATACATAGTTGTTTGTGTATGTTCCTACATACATGAATACCACCTGCTTAGACCACATAATATTACTTTTAGGTGTATGCTTTCAGGGCTGACCATTTGTTATAAATAGCTAGTTGAAGCAGACTGTTTCTTCTGTTCTCGGCATTCATTAGTTGCCTGTAGTTCTTCTTATATGGTTGAAGCTTCCTACACCCATTCACATTAATGTGACTATTAGTGTCATACTTGTTCAGCCCCTGTTTCAGCAGCCATGATGGCATATGTATAGTTTCTTACATATTTAAGAGACTCAGTCTCACAGCAAACTCCCCTATTCCTGTGGATTTTACAGTTTTCCTGGTACCTCCTCTGAAATGATCCCCGAGCCTTAGAGTAATTGTGTTGTAGATATATCAGTTTGGACTGGGCTCCACACCCTGCATTTTCAGTGAAAATTCCTTAACAGTATGAGGAGGCTGGATGGATGAAGACTGTGTCAAAGTGCCCATTTCACAAATATAATAACCAGCATTTGTAACCTAACTCTAATATAGCAGCCAGATACAGTGGTGCATGTCTGTAACTCCAGCGCTGGTAGACTGGAGACAGGTGGATCACTGGAGCTTGCTTGCCAATGAGTCATCAAGGCAAATCATGTGCTCCAAGTTCAGTGAAAGGCCCTACCTTATTTTCACTGAAGACATATGAGATCTTCTTCTTACTAAGATTTATGTCTAAGTGGTTTTCTTAGAACTATTTATATAATCAAACACAAAAGATCTGTATTTTCAATAAGAGTGGTTGAGTAAATCATTACACACACGTCGAATAAGATGTCAGCACAATCCATACAGAAAAAGAAAACACTTAAAATTTAAGAAATATTAATGACTATCAAGAAAAAAGCTGGATATTAGGATATATACTATGGCAATAATTAGTTAAATGCTTATGTTTATCTAAAGAAAATTTGTTTTTCAAAAAAATTATTTTTATTTATTTGGAGTGTGTGTGTGTGTGTGTGTGTGGTATACAGATGTTTATGTCCCACAGCACATGTGTGAAGGTCAGAGAAGAATTTCTGACAGTCCTTTCCTTTTACCATGTAGGACTTGGACATCAAACTGTGGTCACAAATCTTCAAAGAAAGCACCTTTACCCACTAAGCCATTCTTCTTGTCCTGTGTCTTTGCCTTGAACAATCTGTTTCTCAAAAGAAACAATACATTAAATATATAATTATAAACTACTAAACTTAAGAGTATTACTATGTAAATTGAGAAAATGGTTACAATGCTAATAGTGTGAATTACAACATCAACATGTTAGCACATAGAGTCTTCTCCAGTTTCATTGTGGCATTCTGCTCTGAGATCCTTAGTCTATGTTCACACTGGATCTACATTCATACTGTATAAAAATTGTAGATATATTAAATCATTTTCATATAGACTTGTGTTTATTCTTCTCATTGACAGTTTTCTGCCTGTTCTTTCCTCTTTACTCTACAAAACAGACCTCAATGCTGGTGAAATCCTGCAGATGTTTGGGAAGATGTTTTTCGTCTTTTGTCAAGAGTCTGGCTATGATACCATCTTACGTGTCCTGGGATCTAATGTCAGGGAGTTTTTACAGGTGAGAGGTTTGAAGTTCTGAGAGAGAAGGCTCTCTGTCAGTTCTTAAATGTGAGCTCTCCAATACTTCTATTTAGTCAAGTGAACAATGGTATCTTGCTCCTGAAGAGGAATCCTAGTGAGCACTCTCACATAAAATTGAGTTATTTGATGATCCTGCATATATTCCAACATTTTCCATCACATAGTAGTTTCATGGATGCTACTTGTTAACTCTAAATATGCAAGCCATCAATTTGTATTCTCTTAAAGTCCATATGGTCTATTATGATCTGTCAATTATCTTTTATTACAGATAATAATGGTGTGATCTTTTACTTTCTATATATAATATAGTTTCATTCTTTGTAATATAATCTTATATTTAATATTTCCTTGAACAGAGTAACAGTATTCAGAAGTGTTGCCTGGCATTCTTGCTAGGAGAAAGAAGGAGGGATGATAGGGGGTAAGGGGAGTGTTGTGTCAGGTATCACACTTAGGAAAACTAATTCTTTGCCTTAGAGTAACAAATTAGTTGGTCCTTCTCTCTCTCTCTCTCTCTCTCTCTCTCTCTCTCGCTCTCTCTCTCACTCTCTCTCTCTCTCTCTCTCTCTCTCTCACACACACACACACAAATAAAAAAAAATTCAAAGCCTGTTTCAGGTAACAAAACAAAATAAATACCATCATCCAAGACCTTTATCTTACAGCACTGCTGAACAATTACTGTAGAAGTCTGCACTAGTAAATTCCCCATCTGCTGAGACACTATTTCTGGACCGCCTGTGCTATTTTGAGCTCCGGCATTTGTGAGACCCTCTGGATGAATGTGTGAGTGCTCTGCATCATGGGGCTTGTTTGCAAAGAATGTTTCTAACCTGACTGCTGAGAGTGGCTAGACCTTGCTGGAAAATGATGTCAGTGCAGTACCAGCTGAACTGAAGCCCAGTTTTGAGAGAATGTAAACTACTCCAAGGCCAGCTGCATTATTGATTTAACAGCCAAAATAAGAACTTTTGTGTTTAATCAAAATGTCTGCTGTTTACACAGGGACATTTTTCTTATAAACTTAAAGCAGCATTAAATCAAGATGAACGCTGGTTTACAGCATCCAGCTGTGGACTTACTAAAGTCCTGCTGTCCAAAGAAAGTTGTCCCTTCCAAATGAAAAAGCTGCTAAAATTAAAGTCAGCCTGATGGCTTTTAAATTGATTATTTCAAATGGATTGGAGTTTGATACTTCAAAGTGTTGAAGGGATTTTATATTTTTTGAATACAAAATCAATTTCAAAATTATTTTTGTTGTCCACTATCATCTTACCAGAGAAATTTAAAAAAAAAAAGTAGTGTGTGTGTGTGTGTGTGTATGTGTGTGTGTGTGTGTGTGTGTGTGTGTGTGTGTGTGTGTGTGTGTGCAGATAGCCACAGAGACCAGAAGAGGGCATATGATTCCTTGGAGCTGGAGTTACAGGAATTTGTAAAGTACCCATGTGGATGCTCAGATCTAAACTCTGGTCTTATGATATAGTATTAGATACACAAAACTGCTGAGCCATCTGTTCAGTGAAGTTTTACCTCCCAGAAGTGTTTCATTTTAGTGAAACTCTGAACAACCACATCCATCTGCTAAATGTATCATGGCAGAGTAGATAAAGGTCCATGCCTCACTGTGGCTCTGTTTCTCTGTGCTCTCAAACTGCCTTGTACAACTGTAGATGCCCTAGCTGGGATGATCTATCAACACTCTATAAAAGATTAATTATTGAAAATTTTGTACACTATGTAGTAAACTCTGTTCGCATTCACCACCCCACCCTTTTGTACTCCCTCCATCTCTATCAATACCCCACTCCTTGTAGCAGGTCTTTATCACACTGTCGTATCTTTCTGTTGTGTTTTGTTTTATGACTCACTGAGTTTAACCAAGACTGCCCCTGTGGGTAGGATATGAGCTAGCGTCTCCATCACAACAGACAGTTTTGACCTCTCCCTTAGCAGTCGCAACTACCGACAGCCAATAAGTCTCCTGTGAGAGGCATGGTTCCATGGTTCCCTCCAGAATCTATTCTGACACGTTCAGTCTAGAAAAGGCAACCACAGCTTCTCTGAATTCATGAGTTGTGTTGGACATGACATGCTTAGAAGACATGTTTCATGTGGCCTTTATATTCCCTTCTCCCCCTTCTTTCGTGGTGTTCCTTGATCTGTGAAAGCAGTGGTATGGTTGTCACAGGAAGAACTGAACAGAATGACTCAAACACTACACTTTCAAAGCCACTGGTTTCCTCACTGGCTACTCTTCATGACAAAAGAATACTCTGACTGAAGCTGAAGACAGATCTGGTCTATCTGTAGGAAGCTAGCGATTTAGGCTGTCAGTATCCTCATTTAGCTAAACAGATGTGGTAGCTTTACCTGTTACCCCATGGGGTCCCCAGCCATGACCTTTCACTAGACCACAGCACCAGGCATGAGCTTCCATAATGAAATGAGCTAAGAAGTCATCCAGTTTTAATGATGATGCAAAAGAATAGAAAATTTCTCATTTATAATTTAATATAAAATGTATTAACATCTTTAAATTAAATGTGGATTTATTTTGTGTCCCCATTGATTAAGACTGTGGAAAGAGAAACATATTTTGGATACTGTAAAATTCTCTTTATTTCCCACTTTTGAACAAATAAGTTTTTGTCTCTCTAGTTTTGAAAATGTCTATTATCATGACAAATTTACTATGCTAAGACTGTACTTTACTTGAGAGTAGGTGGTTTTGTTATTGTTAGGCTAACAAATAGTGTTCAGTGGATCTTTTCTTATATCTGTCATTGTAAAATAAAACAGCTGTTTTCCACACATTGTTTCAAGATCCTAGCTTACATATAAAAATTTTCTTCCAGCACATATAAATAAAACACTTTACAGCATGTGCCTGTACCACTCAGGAAAATGAGATGAACTGGGCTTCATCAAGAAAAGAATTCAAAGGCTTTTCTTTCCCTTTCACTCCCCAATTTTAATCAATAACCAAATATTTCAGCCTATTCTTGGTACTAAATTTGGAGAACTCAGCCTTTTTAACATTTTTCTCAAACTTCCCAGGAAGGGTCTTCTTGTAGAGATTGGATAGTCTTCCTGACTTCTCCAGTGTCTTCTCTTTAACTCTGATGATTTCTCTAAAATGCAAACACCCTCATCATATCCTTTTGTTCTTTGAATCTTTGAGTGAGTCTCTTGTTTCCTGGAAGAGTCTAGCTTATCAGGTTTAAGACAATGGAAATCACTTCTCCCTCTGTCCTCTCCATCTCTTGTCTGTCTCTCCTAGTACATACAGTCAACCTTGAACTCTATAAACTCTTTTATTGACCAAGTTCTCTCTGTCCTCTGAGATTCTGTGTATGCTCTTCTCTCTGCCTAGAACATGATTTTGGCTCCTATTAACACAATGAAGTCAGTCCATCCTCCAGTCACTTTGCTGCTTCCAGGAAGACTCCACTCCTCTCCAAACTCTGCCCTACTTGCAATGGGGTCGTTGGCTTTTCTCACGCTTTCAAAGCATGCTGTCCCCAGCCTCAGTCCTGGCACTGACTGCACCACCATTTCCTGTTTCTCCCACTGGAATGTAAACCACAGGAGGCCAGAGACCCTGCAGAGTAGCTCAGTGAATGCCTTCTGCAGTCAAAATCTGGGGGGGGATGAATCAACGGTTTAAGGACAAAAGAATATTCTCTGCAAGGAGGAAAAAACAGAATAAGCAGATCCAGTGGGAACTCAGTCAGTAAGATTTCATCAAGGACCATCCATTTGAAGTGAGCCTGTGCAATTTTCAGAGAAATACTTCAAGAAAAGTATTGCTTCCATGTTAAAGGAGTTAGGAGAGTTTATTCTGGGGTAAATATGAGTAACCATGACCTGGAACACAGATTCAGTTTGCCAGATATGATTATATGTTCCATCATGGTGCAGGCTATACAAACTTTTATAATCACAAAATAAAAGAAAATTATGCATCAAGGCATGGATTAGAGCATAATACGGGAAATTATACTGATGACATGCTTATCTCTTGGAATGGTAGGTTAAGAAAGCCTTTCAGAGGTTTTACCTGAAGGTTAGGTCATAATTCTTTAAAAGTCTATTAAAAGGACTATGATGACTCAAGGTAATTTGGTCTCAGATCTGGAGCATTCCAATTCTACAATGACAAAAGATCTAATTGGTCAGTGAGCCTTATATAATTATCAATTTATCCATGTTTTCTCTTTCCTGAGAATTTCAGTTAATAGAGTTAAGTCTAAATTGACATATAAATGAAGACACATTGGGCAAATTTTATTTCTAGGTAGACAAGGTAAATTAATATATGTTATTTAATTTTCAGGCCACAATACTATACCTGCACATTTAAATACATTGTTGTATCTGCCCATTAAATATATTTACGTATTTTTAGGTGGCAACATTGATATTGCCACTTATATACTTCAGAGGACAATAATATTCTACTGAAGTCATAGCTCAGGAGGCTATTAGACCAGGCTTTGACTGGGCACATCTGTCACTTTCATCACATCAAAAGTAACTTGGGGATCTTTTGCCCCCTGTCTCCTTTTGGACATATTAGCAACAATTGTTTTCTAGCACACACACACACACACACACTCATACACATGCACACACAGAGACTCATGAACACACCATATATAGCTTGAAATTGTTTTTAAATATTTCTGGATATTAAAACTGTATGTATTAGGCAAAGTTAAGTACTTCAGGAATTAGATAATTTTGAGTAGCTTTTTTGAATAGTGTTTCACATTTTTTATTTAGTGTGTGAGTTCATCCACATGTGTGTACAAAGGCACATGTGTAGCTGTCATGAGTCAGTTTTAAGGAGTTGGTTCTCACCTTCCCCCTTCTGTGGAACCAAACTGTTGGCATCAGGCTTGGTGGCAAGTGCTTTTATGCACTGAGCTGTCTCATCAGTCTAATTCTGGAGTATTAGTAATTTAAAAAAAA